TGTACAGTTGCTCTCAAACCAACCGTGCGGCCGTTACATCCACGCGTTTTATGGCAATCTAAGCTAAGCAGCGAACAGTGCTTCTACAACTGTTTAGCAGTCGACAGTATGCTTCAAACTTTGTAGTGTCATGCATGATTTATTGTGCTTGAACTGCAAAGTCTAGATAGTAAAACCAAAATAGATAGCAAAACCAAAGTAAGATACTTTTAATAAATGCATTTGCTGGTTTACTATTTATTTCAATTCAATTACTTCGATACTTATTTCATTATTATTTTAATATTATTTATAATTTAAAAATAAAAATAAATAAATGGCTTCTAATGTAGTGATTTTAATAGATTAATATGTTTACATTTATACTATTTTCTTAATAAATTTTTTCTCTTAATTTTAATAAAGTCTATTTATAATAATTTAAAAATATCTTCATTTCGAGTTAACTGACAAAATATTCCTTATAAACTTGATTAACTTTTATATAAGGGATTTGAAAGAAAAAGAGATAGGCGAAGCCTGTATGGGAGTGCCAGATGCCCAATGCAAAAATGATTTTCTTAGATAATATTTACATCTGAAATTCGATTTTTATAGCTTTGAGTCACACAGTCTATGATAATCATGAAGCTATAATGCAGCATAGAGAGGCAAAGGGAAGGACATCGTCTTTTCATATTTATTTATCTATAAACTGACAGTTTCAATGATTTCAGCTGCCAGACACAAAATTGTTTTTCATCAACTTATTCCGTAAGTATATCTAAATAAATTAAGGGAAGCACACTAAATTGATTTCAAAAATAAATACTTATTAATACCTTTAATAAACTTTAGCTCTCCGTTTATAGAGCATACATAAAGTGCATAGGCCCGACACGCCGCTAAAGTCATACTATCGTCAAATACGTGATCAATGAAGATGCCAACACACACTGAAACTTCAAGGTGAGCCAAGTGGGCGGTGCGGTGAAATATGCAGGTGCGACAGAAGCCCGCCAGGAGTTGCTGCGTGCCCTGACAATGCGAAAGATTAGCAGTCAGATAAATGTGTGGGGCTTTGGCATACAAAAGCATTTGTGAATTTACTCGATTATCGATATGCTTATGCATATTTGTATGCTTGCTCACGAAGTAAAGCGAGCATATTGGTTGGTTAGAGTTTAGAGCTTAATTGTGTTGTGCGAAATAGAAGATAGAAGAATAAAAGAATCAATTTGAAATGCTTAAAATGGTAAATCCATTTCACAGATATATATTTTATTTATTTGTTTATTTTATTACAATAAAAAGTAATAAGATTTAAGATTTGCTAAGATTCTTTCTTACTTTGGTCTCATTATTAATTTGTTTATTACATATCAATATTTTTCTTTTATAAGCAATATAAACTTTTTACTAATAATGTTTGTTTACCCGAGTAAACTAATTTTTTATTATCAAGCTAAGCCGAGCTTAAAAACAAGGCTACTTTATTTGTCATAGTCTTTGGCGTATTAGGCGAATGATTAATGTTTTTCTGATATACAATAGTAGTATATACATACATATACAAACACACATACACATATTATTATCAAGATTAAAACAAAATTCTCCTAAGCAGCGCAGCAAGTTTTAAAATGAAGATTGTCTGTGTGTGTTAACAGACACTCACATGAGCTCAATTGAAGTCCTCACGCTCTGCCTCTCTCTCTCTCTCTTTCTCTGCTTGCCTGTCTGCCTCTCTCTCTTAAGTCGGACAGAGTTTAAAGTGAAGACCCAGCTGCTGCTGAGCCAAATACATCCAAAGTGGGCAAACAGCCCTTACAAATGCCAGGTCACGTTTTGGCCATTTATCACTTTTATTTGAGCTGTTGTATTAGATACTCAGATAATATTATATACATACATATGTATATACATATATGTGCATACACACATGTCTGCATGCATGTATTGTAACACACAAATAAAAATGTGTGTTTCGAAATTTTAAATCATATACATATGTACATGTGTGTGCGTGTGTGTGTGTGCATGCAAATGTATGACCGTTATAAACATGAAAACACTTTCAAGTATATTAATGTCATTTAACATTTAGGCTCGCTTCAAAATTATCGCCTTTCTTATCAAATCCGATGGTGGCCCACATTTATTTAGAAATTCATCCAGCCATGAATGAATCTTATTGTTAATATAAAAATTGTTAATAGAAAAATATAATTATGAATAATAAATATTCTTTAACAGATACCTTACTCATTTCAAAATATTGAAAGCTTCAGCTAAACATTACAATCTACGTCTCCATGATACCTCTGAACATTTTCAGTTATACAATATATCATCTGTTAAATCAACTCTATAGCTGACCACCTTCTGCCCTTCTCACACTTATGCGTCTCTCTTTGGCAACAATCAATAGCACGATGACAATAGAAACAAAATAGATTAGTTTGA